ACCACTGAGCCACTATCAGATTTTCTATTTCTTGAATAAGCTTTATGAGTGTTTCTTGGACATCATTAATTTAATCTAAAATCTAAAAACATTATTTTTAATTATACACATGTATGTATGCTTATATGTGGGTGTGTGCATGTGAGCACTGAGGCCCATGGAGGCCATAAGTGTAGGATCCTTTTGAAATGAGAGTTACAAATGATTCTGAGCTACCAGACACAGTTGCTGGGATTGAAACTCAGTTACTTTGGAAGAAGAGTACGTACACTGTTCTTAACTGCAGAGCCCACATCTGAAAATGTAAATTTATTGACATTAAGTTCACCTCAGTGTTGCCTTTTTATCTATTAATGTGAGATCTCTAGTGAGGTTTCACTTTTCTTTTTGTTCTTATCTGTTCTTTTCTTTTTCCTTTAGCCTTATTTTTCCTTCTTTTCCTAATTTCTGATTTTGAACATTCGTATTTATCTAATAAGGCTTTGATGCTAAATATATCCCTCTCCACTCACTCCCCGGGGACTTTGATTTAGGAGCTGTTTTCCTCTCTACTGAATCATTCCCATTATAGAACATCTCCAACACAGGTACAGCCCTTATAACACAAAAGAACAGACTTTATGGCTCCCACACCCTCCTCCAACTATCCTCCCACCACTCTGTAATACTGCACCCTGGAGGCTGAAATGTCCTCCCATCCTCTAGAGCCTCCTCCATTTAGCTCATCAGCCTTATCTCCACAGTGAAATTGCTTTCATAAAGGTCACCAGCAAGTTTCTCCTCTCTGTAGGTTACCATCTTCCAGCTCTTCTTACTCATCCATCAGCAGCATTTGACAGCTTTTGTTCTTGCTCCCAGCATACCACCCTCCCCTGGTCTTCCTTCCTGTCTTCCTTCCTGTCTTCCTTCCTTCCTTCCTTCCTTCCTTCCTTCCTTCCTTCCTTCCTTCCTTCCTTCCTTTTCCTTCCTTCCTTTTTTCCAAACTCTTCTGCTTTACAGTTCTCACTTGGGTTACTCAGCCAGTACTTGTTATTTTGTATCTCTATAAGCTGCTCAGTGCCTTTCATCCTCCTAAAATCTGAAATGGTATGTATTTAAGCTTTTTGTAGTACTCACAATTTGTAATATTGTTATATTGCCTTAACACAATAGTTACAGGTTTTTGAGGCAGGCAGGGTCTTACTGCAGCTCGGGCTGGCCTGGAAATGACAGTGCTCTTCCTAACTCACCTTCCCAGGCACTGGAATTACAGGTATGAGCTTCATGATTGGCCAAAACTTAGATGTTTTAATCTGTGTAGTTAACTACAAATTCTCCAGTGATAAAAATCTCTGTAGTACCTTCTTTCTTCCATCCTTCAAACCCATCTAAATAGTGTTGTATGAAAGGCAAACAAACCTCAAGAGCATATAAACTCCATTTCTGATTTTACACAAGCACTTAGGAAAAAAGTATAGTTTTACAAGACTTACACTGAAATGACAAGTACAAGTTACATACAATGACACATACAAGGCGCTGAGCCTCAGTGTCTTGGAAGTCACAAGTTAAAATGGTCATCTTAGAGTATGTTGAATGGAATACAAGTGTTCTGCTCATGTGAACCATAAGCCAGCTGAGTGGTTATTTTATTCTATTTTTTGATGAGATGAAACGAAATATTTATATTTTTCTACTAGAGGCTTCTCACATGCCAAGGATAGTCATCAGGAAATCTCCCTTCTAAAAGCCAAACAGATGATATTTAACAAGACTCACAGTGTTACTGAGAAAGGGCCAGTGAAGCTGAACCTGGCTCTGGGCTGACACGTGAGAGATACACACCCCTTCACCTGTATGACAAACTAGTAGTTCAGAGCCATTGGCTCAGAGGCTGGATTATCTGGGAAGACGATCACTATAAACCTGGAAAAGCCTCATTTCAAACAGAGCCAACCACTACCATGTGGATTCCAGAGACAGTTCCTCAGGTTTCCTGAGCCTCCTGTCTCAGAGCAAAGGCCATACACGACCCCACCGCTGCTTTATCGTCTTAGCAAGGGGTGGGCAGAGTGAAAACACTAAGCCATTCAAAGCTGCCTAGCAGAAGCTAAACCACGCTCTTTTTCACCTGCCTCTGTCTTCAGCTACTGCTATGTGATGTTTTTTTAAAGTTCACTCTTTCACAATTACTTAGGAGATTTTTCAAAGTAAGGCTCCAAGATCTCTGAAGGTTTTTTCCCACTTACTTTAAGAAGCATCAAGGAATGTCCCTGTGCCAATTGTTTCTGAACACACAGATATGAGACATGCTTTGTGAACTTTAAATTATCTAATAAACTTCACTTTAAAAAGTCTCAGAACAAATTAGTGATAGACAACAGAATGTACAGCCAAGTTTCTAACAAGGCAATAACTATAGTAACAGATACTGAAGGATGTTCTACTCCAAATAAGGGAAATACTATTTTTTTTTCTTTACTGTCCATTGAAAAAAAACACAGCCTGGAAGGTCTGCTGCTGCAGAATAAAAGTCATACGGGTTCAACATATAAAAACATTATGGATGATACACAGATTCAGTTTCCATTTCCTCTAAACACTAAAGTAGAGCCTATTATTAAACTAAAAAGATAAATATCGTAATCATGAATAGAATCCCTTGGCATGCATGGTGGCATATTCTGAATAATCTCCAGCAAGACTTCAGTACTGTTAACACCAGTTTTGGTACAGGGCTAAAGCTAATGTAACAAGAACTAGGTATAGGAAACCTTTTTGTTCACGGGGAACAAAAACCGTTTTCAGTGGAGTCTGAAGGCACTGTCCTCACTTCCTTCTAGCACCTTTCATCAGGATGCTCTGAAGAGGGCACTGCTAGTCAGGCAGGCCAGAACAGACAGGTGACACACACCTCTCCTAAAGGGCTCTGCTTCAAAAGAACCAAAGACAAACACGGCTCATATTAGGCAGCAACTGAATCTATCCCTGCTAGCCACGTGGCCACTGAGTCTGTTATTCGATCACTAAAACAGTATTCATAATTCCAAGGTTAACTTCATGTGCACGTTTCTCTCTGCACAGAAAACCTGTGTGAAAGGCAGCACACAACAGCCCTACTCCTCAATTACTAGTAAGGCAGCGTTTCAATGTGCATGTGTAAACTCTGCCTCTCAGGTTTCCTAGGCAAGGGGCAAAGCAGGCTCTCTGAGACAGCTGTGTCAGAGCTGCAGCAACACTCAGTGCAAGAACACCACAGGCAACCAAGGGCTGTTCGATAATTTCCCTCAACTAAGACGGTTTCACTGGGCAGGTTTTCCATTTCACATGTGTTGGTTTTGTTGTTGAGTACGTAGGTTCCTGCCTGTGTGGGCATATGGATACAGTTGCACTTGAAGGCCAAATGCCTTGTATCCACTAGTACTGTCACTACAAGTGGTTGTGAGCTGCTCAAAGTAGGTTCTGGGAATTTAACTTGCAAGAACAGCATCTGCTCTTAAACCACTGAGCCATCTTACTAGCCCTTCATCTGAGTTTTTATTAAATGAGCTTTTATAATTGCACCATTTCTATTATAATGCTAATACTCAGAGAATTTGCTTAGAGCTCAAGTATAAATAACAGTAAAATTCTCAGGTTCTCCATTCCTCAGATAAACATTTTATCAAAATATCTATATGCAAGGCTTGTAAGACAGCATCAATAAGCAACTATGTTTTTTTTTTTTAACAAAGGAAAACACCATGCCCATGTAGAAACACATGCAGATCTGTGGGTATCCTCTCGCTCTCAGCTCTGCACCGTGATGTTCACTGTGTGGCTTCTGTGTCTTTTGTCTTTTCTAGTCCAGGGAAAATCTTACATAAAGCTGCACAGCCACAAACTCCAGCAAAGGCACTGATGTCACTTAGAGATGAAGTAGCCTTTAAGGGGATAACTACAGAGGTTTCTCAGGTACTTTGTAGTCTTGCTAGAAGCTTTACTACTCTTGCGTTTCTACACTTGAGACACTCGAATACTTAAGTATGGTGCGGGCTCACCAACTAAGGTTTAGTTCATGGGTAAGATTCTTGTTAACTCAGAACAGTGGCTGCATCTTCATTTCAAACTCCACCATTCTTGTCACCTCTGTGCTGTCATGGTCAGCTTCTGTGTCACTGCCAAGCCCTCTCACTGCCACTCCTGGTTCTTTCAGATGGTGCATATTAGGTCCACAGAGGCATCCCTTTTGTGAAGAGGTCATTTCTACTTTACACTCGAAGCTCCCCCGAAGACTTGGATTGGGAACTGTTTCCATAGCACACTCACAGTTCTGTAGCATCTCCTCTTACAAAGAAAATCAGAGGGCTTGTTGGAAGGAGAGCAAAGCCCTTGGGTATTTTTATACAGGGAATGCTGTTTCACTGCAACTGAAACCCAGATAAACCTGAAGATGAAAAGTGACATCCAGCTTCAAATCTGGCAGCTTAATGTCTACCTCCAATCTTTCCCTGTACCTTTGGGTGATGGCGCTGTTTAGTGTCGCAGAAGCAAATGAAAGGTGTCGGCATCATACTACTTTGTACTTTAGCTATACTCTCACAAGGTCCAGAGAAGCTCTGCCAAAGATACAACATTCATCCCCCCGCCTCACTTCTCAGAGATAAAAATGGTGAGCTTTACCTCCACCAGTCCAGCTTCAGACAGCACACACAGCAGCTTTAAACTGAGAAGGCTCACGGACTTGGCAAAATTTTACATTCTCCCAAGGAAGTTAGTATATAATCAATCCTAAAGAGCCTGGATTTTTATTCAAATAAATAATTTAATGCCTGAGGAAGAAAAGCTCAAAATTGGGGGCGGGGGAGCCCTTGAGGAAAATACAGGTTCTATAGAGACCTTACCTGGGCTACGTAATAATGTCAGTGTAGGTTATTGCATTTAAAGGCACAGCCCATGGTGCTGCTGAAGGACATCAAAGCCATCACACACAGAACAGCCCGTTAGTCTTCTGTTATACCCGTACATAAAAACACAAGAGCTACCCAGGTTACCACATTCAGATTTACTTGCTCAGCAGAAGCTGCCTCAGGACAGTTAAATACCGAACCTCACTCCCTTTGGGTGTTCTTAGGAACTTCCCACTGGACCCCAATGATTCTCTGCTGTCCTGAGCATCCCTGATAATCAAATCTGGAGGGGAAGCCCAGAAGCATCAGTCTTCGTTTCTCCAGCTCAAACGTGCAGCCAGGCCGCAGGCCACACCGCAGCTTTTCCAGGGGTTGCTGCATGAAAGCACACAGACAGTTCCAGGCTAGACAGTTCAGCTGCTTTCTAAGTTCCAGGAGAAAAGGGGCTTTTTAGAAAAGGGCACAGTTGTGCTTCCTCTGAAGACACAGGCTGCTGTTTAGAGGTGCTGACTGCAGGGATTATCTGGAGCGTTGGTTATAAAGAAGAAAGTCCTTGTCTTGGCAGAGCAGGCAGAATTTCAGGCTTCGGCAGCTGCCTCCAGCAGCAAAAAATGCCCAGATGCCCATGAGCACCATGATTATATATGCTGATACCAGGTTTAGTCCATAATGAGGACTTAGGAGGGTCTGCAAAGGAAAAATAAATCAGCCTGGGCAAAAGCACAATATGCTAAAAGAGAGTCAGAAGAAAATACACAATGCTTTCAACAGTTGGACTGTCTCACAAACATGAGATGAATGTCATCTCTGTGTCAGGAGAGCACAGAGAACAATCTACTCAACAGACTGTGGTCTGTGAACTTGCACTTTGCTTGACTCAAATGACAGTCCAGAAGACAGCTCTCAGCCAGAACCCAATGGGATACTTAACAGAAAACACATGGAGCACCTGGCCCTGGTTTATATCCATTTCTGTGTTAATTAAGTTGGCCTAAGAATTTGTTAGTAAGTCGGGTACTTCTAGATTATTTTAATATGAACTGTTAGTATGCAAAGGAACATGAGGAAATGGAGTTAGGTTTTTGGCTGTGCAATTTCTATGGATTCCAAAGGTTTACTCACTATAAAATACTAACAGCAATATAGCTCAGTGGTTGAGCACTTGTTTATTATGCATGAAGCCCTGGGCTCACCCCCCAGCACCAAAGTGTGGCAACAGAGTGCCAACAGGTGCTGTGACTGACATTACTGAAGACAAGTCTCCACCCTGATGAAACTTATATACTAGTAAGTAACATAGATAATGAAGAAATAAATCAATTTCAAGTAGTGATTGATGCTAAGGCAGAATAGTTAGTTGTAACAAATGCTAGGATGAGAACTAGTGATCGACTGAAGGGGTGATGGAGGCCCCGAGAAAGTGACCCTTAACTTGAAACAGATAGGAAGGGAAATGAACTAACCCTGTGCAGCCTGGCCACAGAAGGAGCAAAGGTTAGGGCAGAGCTGGGTACAGATGAAAACTTAGCCTGTGGCTAAGCAATGTAAATGTTTTTCTCTGTGCAATTACAGGCCATCTAGAGGGTTTAGATTGGGATAATAATAATTGGTTTTGATTTTTAAACTGTATAAAATGGATTAAAGGGACTAGGTTAATCAGGAGATGAGTTACAAGGAGATTGCATTGGTGAGAAGGAGGTAGGATGGTGATTTAGGGAAGTAGTGGTGCAGATGGAGAGTAGACAGGATGAGCTCACAGGGCTTACTGATGCACTGAATGTGAAAGAGATGCCAAGGCTGACTCTTGTATTTCTGGCTTCATGGTAGATGAAGCGTTAAGTATGCAAAGTGTTTAAAGAGCACCAGCAGGAAGGGGTAGGAACAAGCTTGCAATGGTGAACACAAATCATATCCAAAGAGATCATGGTTAAGAGTAACAGGCCACGAGATTTCAAAGGCAGAAGTCAAATAAGCACTTGGATGTCTGAGAATAATACTCAGAGGACACAACAAGGCAAGGAAAAGCATTAGCACAGCCTCCATATGGAATTAATGCCATTCCATGACGGTGTGTATCTAAGGAGCTGCTACAGAGACAGGAAAAGACAACACAAGATTAAGGGTCAGCGGTGTGAGTTCCACGTCCGCGACAGGCATGGTGAAAGGAAGGAACAAACTTCTGCAAGTTGTTCTCTGACTCGCATGGGCATGTGCACACACAAACACACACATATAAACCAATACAAACATATACATACATGTAATAAATTTTAAAAGAACTACAGTAGAGATAAAATTTGTGGAGATAATTTTTGAGGTGTGTGTTACTGTGATAGAAGAGAAAAAGTTGTAGAAAGGGTGAAGGTCAGACCAACAAGTTTGTAAGATGTGCCTGGGGGAGAAGATGAACTCAGGTCAGGGCCACCACCTGAGCAGAGCAGCCTTAGCCTGGGAGCCAGATATTGCATCTGTTGGAACAGGGCTAAGGTCAGGTCCTAACAAAAGAAAAGATTTGACTGGGTCAATTTGTAACCACACACCTTTAAAACAAGCACACTCCAACTTTATCTTCACCCAACTGGGACATGCCTCTGACTAAGGTACCAAAGTTGAACTATTAGCTCTGGTCGAGGAAATGGGTTCGTTTTGCAGGTAGCATCTCACTCAGAAAGAATGCTTTTCTCAAGAACCATACTTTGGGTATGGTAGGATATTGGAATATTATGGAAACTTTTCCAGGTTAATCCTACATTGAAGCCAATTAAATTTTAATTCATATTGCAACATGATGATGTCCTTTGAATTTTCTTCGGTTTATTTCTTTTAGAGCCATTTTCTCTTATAAGCAATTACAAAAGATTGTAAAATCTTTGTTACAGGAAATGAGAATACAAATGAGAAAAATAAATCCTAAAACCTGAAATTCGGCTAGGTTATTCATCAGAACACAAAAATGAAATAGCTAAAAACAAAATTGGACAACATAAAATGGAAAACTGGGCCTGAGAATGTACTTCACGGGAGGCTTGCCCGAGTGCATGCAGGGGACCCTTAATTGGAGCCCCAGAATTACACACATAAGACCTTTGAAACATTATACTGCTCCTGTCTATAATACTAAGTCTAGTTGCCTGAGGCAGGATAGCCACAGACTTGAGGCTAGCTAGAGCTTCAGAGTGAATTCTAGTCTAGACTGGACTATAAAATGAGAATATAAAATAAAAAAAGAAAGAAAGAAAAAGAAAGACAAGACAGTGAAACAGAAGCTGTTTGCAGCAGCATATACCTGACAAAATATTCTCTTGTAGGAACTATAAAGAACTGAAACATTAAAACAACAGTAGGAGGTAGGCAAAATATTTGAACAGGGACATCAAAAAGAAAGAACACAAGTGCCTACCAGCCACATGAAGACATGCTTACGTTACTATCAGGACACAAAAGTTCAGTGTGCTTCCACTATATTCCCAGCAAGAAAAGACAGAGTCATACCAAGTATTGGCACAGATGTAGAAGAACAGAAGTTCATAAATAAATGGCTATAGTTTATGTCAATCCAACCATGCTACAAAATCGAGTGATATGACCAGCTGATGATGCACTCCTTTGACCTTAGCCAGTCTATTTCTAGGTATGTATATAAAGAAAAAGTGTCCACATTTGTTTGCTGCTGATATGTAGCAGAATGCATAATTATAATCGCCACAGTAGTCAGGAACTAGAGAGCTGAAGAGAAAGCTTGGTGCTTCAAGAGCTTGTTTATAACCTGCATTCAGATCCCCAGAACCCCCATTAGAAGGTGTGTGTAGCTGGTAAACATAATAAGATGTGCCTGAGTGTGGATGGAGGAAAATGCTTTTAATTCTATCACTCAGGAGGCAGAAACAGGTGGATCTTTTAATTCAAGGCCAGCAAGGACTTCATAGTGAGACTATCTCAAGAAAAGAAAAGAGAAGAGAAGGAAAGAAAAGTGTTGTGTGCAGGATCATGGAGCTCTAACCCCAGTGTTGGGAATGCAGAGACAGGTAGATGCCAGGCAGGGGCTTGCTGCTCAGCCAGTCTAACCAAAATGTGGAGTCCAGGTTCAGTGAGAGACCTTGTCTAAAACATGAAGTGGAGAGCCACAGAGAAAGGCATCTCAACATCCTCCTCTCGCCTCAACCTGAACACACAACAGCATGTGTACTCTCACATGTACCTCACACACAAAACGAAAATCAGAAAGGGCCAGGACATGGGACTCACACCTGTTACCACAGCACCAGGAGGCTGAAGCAGGAGGAGTGCAGTGGGCTTGAGGCCAGCTGGGAAAACAGATGAGAGAGTCTCAAGTATAAAAATACACAGACATACAGACAAAACCTGGAAATACTCTAAATGCTCTTATGTGTAGAATATATATTACGGTCTATACATGGTGGAATGCTATACATTTAATGAGGAATGTTACAAACACATTGTTGACTAAAATGAGCAGAGATGCACAAGCAAACACCATATAGACCCATTGATCTGAAATAGCCCAAGGCAGGATCCACAGAGCAGACAGTGACTGAGCACAGGACGCTCCTGGGGAGAGTTGTAATGGTCTGATTTTCATCTATGTGCCAGCTGCAAAGTATGTTCCTGTGAAAATTCAGTAAGACGAACATTTTTATTTGTGTACCTCTTATATGTGTATTGTTTTAGTAAAACTGTTGTTGACTCTGGGAAATCTGACACTGAAAAAAACCATTGTTAAAATTTCAGTAAAATAACATCATGTAGAACAATATCAACCGTTTTGGTGCTTTGTCTTCATTTTTTTTTTTTTTTTTTTTTGAGACAGGCTTCTCTGTACAGCACTGGCTGTCCTGGAACTCGCTCTATGGACCAGGCTGTCCTCAAACTCACAGAGATTTGTCCATCTCTGCCTCCCAAGTGCTGGGATTAAAGGCATGTACCACCACTGCCCGGCAGCCATTTAGTTTTTAATCAATGTTTACTAGTCAACCATTATGTGTAAAAGACTTGTTTATTGACAAGAAAAAGAGCTTACTTTTCATTATCAAACTAGTTGAGACATAAAAAACACATAAAATAATTCTAGTGAAGAACAAGAGAGCAGTGAGTAAGGTTCAATGGTAGTGCTCAGTCTGCAGATTTCTGAGCAGGTATCACAAACAGTGAAAGCATTCCCAAGTTAGAGGAAAGACAAATCCTGCATGGAACATGGCAGGACCAAAATGTGCATGCTGTGTCTGGGGTACATGATGTGAATTGTGGAGAGCAGCTGGAGGTAAGCTTCGAAGGCCCAATTTAATAAACCTTACATCAAACAAAGATCCTAGGTTTTATTCCAAAAGCTTCTAAAGCCCATGTCTCCTCCTGGGTGAGCTTGGCTCCCAGGACACCCAGATCTCTGGAATTTCCTGATTCCCTACTTTTCAGTTACTCCTTGTGCTTCTTGGCTGGCTCCTTTTTAGCCCAATCTCAATGATGGAGACCATGGACCCCATGCTTGAACATCTCTGTTTACCCACAGCTCTTTGGATTATCTTTTCTCAACCAAACTCCTCCCCCAAAGTTATCCCCCCCCCCTTTTTTTTATCCAACTTTTACCTGACCTCTCGTCTTGGATGTTTAACAGAGCACCTCCAAAGTAATGGGCCCCAGATAGAACTAGTGACCACCCCTCTCCAGCCCTCATATCAGTTGACAACTCATTTTTTCAGTTGTTCAGGCCAAAATCCTTGAGCATATCCTTGGTTCCTCTTCTTCCTCTCATATGCCTCATACATAGTGAAATCCTATCTCAAAATACGAATCACTTTTACCATCTCCCTGGCACAAGGAAACTGTTTTAATATTGTACAAAAAATGTGCAAAGGATCTAGACAGGGCCATGGAAAGATCACTTTGATAACTGTCATGTATTTGAATGACAAATTACCAGTCAGATCAAAGTCGTTACACACTGCTTTAAAAATAAATCTGACAAGTGTTTGAAGCTTTACTTTGCGGACTGGCACTGCTATAATGTCAGTGCGGAGTGAAGCCAGCACTTCTGCTACTGGTCAGAACATGGAAAGGGTCACCACCTTACAAAGCCTGTTTTAGCAATTTCTATCAAGCACTAAAAATATTCATACCAACTGACTTCACAGTATGGGAAAGTTCTATGCACACAGTCAAGAAAGCTTCACAACAGCCAGAACAACAACAAAACCAAAAGGGAAGTGATTAACCACTCAGGTTAAGCTAATTTTCATGTAATGATTTAAATGTACTCAAATTTGTATCTTAAGGAATTTGTAATGAAGAAGATTGCTGCAGATACACTTTATAACACAAGAACGATGCCAATTCTTTTAGGCTTGACCATACGTCCACTTAAAGGACAGCCATGGGAAAACTCCCAAATTCACAGTGACTGTCACTCTGCTAAAACCTGCGTGACCTGCTGTAACAGAGCTTTCCTAAATTGCCCTCACTTCCCCATGAGTGTGTACTCTCTCTGGAGTGAAATCCACCCTCATCTGCACTTGAGCTCTGCAAGCTCCGATAACACAGTGACAGAACTCACCTGGGTGGACACCAGCAGGTGGGTCAGGAGAACTGTGAGGGGGATGTGCCACTTACTCTTCTCACAGCCATCAAAAAACACAATGCCCCAGAACACGTGCAGCATGATGATGACCAGCGTCATGAAAGCTGAAAGACAAGTCATCAGTGAATGGCAGTCTGCAGATGACAGACACCAGAGCCAGCCGAGCCCGCTGCCATGCAGCAGCTCTGAGGGCCCTAGCTGCTGCTATATACTTTGACCTCCAGAGCACAGAGATGTCTTTGAGAAGAACTCCACGTTAACTTTTGAAGATGCATATCTGTCTGGAAGGGAGCCCAGCCTTTGTAGCAGCTATTCCTCTAGAATATGAACCTGTTAGACAAAAAGCCAACTTGGCTTTCAAGGAGTTTCCCTGAGGTTTGCAATGAGATTAGTACAAAATCTACACAGCTTAATTTCAATTAGCCTGTGGCCCTACTTAAAAAGAATTTTCTCCATTGAGTACAACATCCTCTGTCTAAACAAGTTTCCACACTGAAGGGGAAATTTATCTTCAGAAATTTTTTTAGAGAATGAAATAAAAACCCATCAAAGTCATTAAAATTATCTTAAAATTCTTTTTAAGCAACTGGCAATAAATTGGCACCTCCATGTCTCTGGAATACTGCCTGTGTATGTGTCCTGTGTCCTAAAATAACATTTTTTTCTTTAAATCAGGCAAGTCCCATATATTCTACACACTTTAACATGAAAAGGGGCATATAGATTTTCTTTTTCCTGCCATATAATAAAGAGAACATGAGCTTTAACCCACCATACAGAAAAAATCCCAGTTTCGAGTTCTGTTCTACACTGCTTGAAGGAAAAATAACCTGGCATAGCAAAGGAGAATAGTTGTATCTATTTCAGTCCATCAAAAAGTTCAAGCTACAGTATATACTCTATCTGTACTCCATACCAGTTAGTTCTCAGATCAACAGACCACTAGCCAACTGACAAGACATAAACTTTCTAAGCTGCTTGCCTGTACTTCCTAGTTAAGTAATGATTTTATTCCTTCTCAAGTCTCTGATGGGGTTTAAGACTACATAAGTTATAGTTTCAGTTGGGCTTAAGTTGTTTAGGACTTAAGAAAATGTTTTAAGGTCTAGGAAGTTGTTTTTTAAGTTGATAAACACAAAATATGACAGAGAGTGATTCAGATACAAAGCTTTAGACTCACCTAGATAGGATAGATAGTATTTTCTTCAAGGTTGCCAAATACAAATGAGCTAAATATTTTGAATGTAATTTTTACAGATGGCTTTCCTCTTTCATAACTGTTCTTATGGTATATAGTTTATTATAAATAAATAAAGTCCATTTGAAAAAAAATCACTTATCCAAGGACTTGTCAATGTGGCTTACTGGTACCCATTCCACCCATGAATCAGAAGCAAAGGGGCAGGGGCCCAGCAAAGCTGCTTTAAGCAGCCTTCCTAGAGTCCCATGCATGGTTAAGTTTCAGACTCCTGCCAAGGAGGTATTCTTATGAATGTGCACAAGGATTTAGACCAGCACTGCTGCAATAGCAAAGAATCCTCACCCTTCCACATCGGAGAAGTAGACTACAATGTACTCACACGCTGACCTACTCTATATGACCCACAGCAAGAATCAGCTAAAGAACACGGTGCTGAGTGAGAACAAACATGCTGTGAAAATACATTTGATCACCTCCCCCTGAGGGGGAGCAGCCTTACCAGGCCACAGAGAAAGACAATGCAGCCAGTCCTGATGAGACCTAATAGGCTAGGGTCAGATGGAAGGGGAGAAGGACCTCCTCTACCAGTGGATTTGGGGAAGCTCATGGAAGGAGATGAGGGAGGGAGTGTGGGGTTGGGAGGGGATGAGTGAGGGGGCTGGGATACAAAGTGAATAAACTGTAATAAAAATGAATTAATTAAAAATAAAAAAGGAAAAAAGAAAAAAATATTTTTTAAAAAGAAAATACGTATTATTCACAAGAAGTAAGAGACTCACTAACAATATTAAAAGACACAACTGAGCTGGGTATGGTGTCACACACCTTTAATCCCAGTGCTCAGGGCGGCAGAGGCAGGCTGATCTCTACGAGTTCAAAGCCAGCCTGGCTTACAAAGTGAGTCCAGGACAGCCAAGCCTACACAGAGAAACCCTGTCTGGAAAAACAAACAAACATATAAGTGCTTGCCTAGAGGAGAGTAAGCTGTCACATCTCTGTAACAGTGTCTACACATCAGGCTCTGGCAAGCCACATTAAGGATTCAAGGAGGCAAAGTTTTGAACTAACAAGGAAACGGGGACCAGGGAGGACTGTCACCAGGTTCAGGGGCGTGATGATAGGTGATGTCTCTAAACTACTGCAGCTTTTTAAGTCGGCCATCTTTCTCTCTGACTTTTTATTTTAGTAAAGCTACTGAAACTCTATTTACTTTTCGCTCACAGTCCCCTAGAAGATGGTAAGCTCCCTAATGCATTTTGGCCAGGGCATGAACATTGATTTAATTGAAAAAAAAATTAGAAAGAACTGGAAATTGAGGCCTATAGAGAAGAGGTCTCTAGCTTCTGTTTGGAACATCCTTCCCTGCAGCCCCTTCCTGGTATCATTCATCTTTAAATAAATGTCTATTCAAACGGCCCTTCCTCCATAAGCTGTGACTAGCTTCAATTTTCAGTAAATATTTCTAAGCACCATGTAGTAACAAAGAACTCCATGAGGCTCTGAGGATGGCCATGAACAAGTTGCCATAGCTCTTGCTTATATAGTTTAGAACACAACTAAAGAGAGTGAGGCATTAAACAATAGTCACATCAGTCATTCACAGCTGGGGAACACATGACAAAGGCAAAGAACTTCACTGTTCCCATATGAGTCAATGACGGCCTTCCTTTCTGTAACGTTTATATTATATTTTGTATTTGCTTTTATTCCTATCATGGGCAGAGAGCATGGAGAAATCTTTAATAATAATTTATAGGTGCATAGTTAAATAATCGAAAGGACTTGTCCCCCAAAATTAAGTTAATGAGCTAGGATATGACTTGTACTTGGAACCCCAATCCCATACTTTCTTCCCTACCAAGCACTTCCGGGAAGTGGCAATGAGTCTAATTTATAGCTGGCCTGTTCTACAACCACAGATAACAAAGAACTAACAGGTACATTTCAAAAACTATGCCTGTGTAACATAAAGATTCAAGTATATACAGGTATCATACAGTATGTGTGTTATTAACACAATTGACGTAGATAGAGATGCTAATTAACAATCCCATATTCTTATTCTAATTACCATTTGTTCCATTTTAGGAACAAATCCACTTTCTAAGGGACTAATTTTAAGCTGGCCTTTAAATCAGCCTGGAATGCTGAAGGGAGTTAGCACCACCTAGAGGACAAAAATCAGAAATACAGGCAGGTGGAAAGAAAATAGCCTCTTTAATAGTATTTAGAAAACTCACAAAACTGAAGCAGTAACAGACTTTAGCCATTAAAACATCTTTTGATTCTTTCTTTAAAATCTAGCCTGATGATCATTGAAATCTCTGCCAGGAATGCCCAAGTTCAGGGATGTTTATGGAGGTGGTCTACGTTGGAGGCAGCTCTAATAAAAGCACGGCTATTAACCCTTTCTTCTACTCACAGCCAGGGTTAAGGGTCTGGACTGTGTGCTGTGGCCTCAGAAAGTCAGACACCTTCCTGACAGGGAAGACTAGCTTGCCGGCTGCCCAGAGGGTGGCAGCATTAAAGCCCGTGGGAGGGGCTAAGGTTTGACTTAACAAGGAAACGGGGACCAGGAAGGACTGTCACCAGGTTCAGGGGCATGATGATAGGTGATGTCTCTAAACTACTGCAGCTTTTTAAGTCGGCCATCTCTCTCTCTGACTCTTTATTCTAGTAAAGTTACTGAAACTCTGTTTATCTTTTTGGTCATAGTCCCCTAGAAGATGGTAAGTTCCCTAATACATTTTGGCCAGGGCATGAACATTGATTTAATTGAAAAAAATTAGTATGCGAGTTCCTTATTTCAATGACATAACTGTGGGTCTAGACAACTACAAGTTCAACATATTTCTCTTCTATTTTTAAACAAAGTGAAGTTTAATAATATTCTGACTATAAAACAAACTTGTTATCATAACTTGTAACTGGTGAATAAAAAGAAATGTGTAAAGAGTTGGTCTTTTTACTGCATCTTTGCATAAAAAGATTAATTTGTCTACTACTTTTCACTCTGAATTTAAAGACCAAATCATACTGCCTATCTGTAAAATTCACTAAGTTGTAGATTAATCCACCATTAGAATTTAGGGCTAGGGTTTTTGTGTTGAGTACCTAGCACTGGAAAGAAGAAAATGTAAGGGCTTACAGGCTTATGTTGAAAATAAATATAAAATCCCAAAACAAAGAGAATATAGTTCATAGCTGTTAATGTCTCAACTATAAAAATAAACATATACCTCTTATGCAAGATAAATTCCTGTATTGTTTTAAAGCACTCCAATCAACCCCCACCCCCAGGTCCCTCCCTTGCAGTACCTAAGAATACCCAGCCTTTAAAAGGCTGCACATAAATCCCTGTTCACCTGAATTTCAAAGCCAGTGGGCTGCAGTGAGGAATGTTCTTTAGAGCAGAACCCTGGACATGCACAGCTGACACATACCTGAATTCAGGAAGAACTGAGGAGAATCACCATGAATGCCTACTGTGCCTGGCCCCAAGGAGTTAGACAGGGTGTTCACAAAGGAAAACACTCCACTCATGATTCCAAAGCCCAAGCCAGAAACTAAAGAGGAAGAAAAACATCGTTAAACCCTTTTCCTGTTATGAGTTTGGTTCACATTTAATTTGCAAGGACTAGGGGATAATACATTTCACTGCAGGGAAATGGGTCTCTTTCTTAGCACATGTAAGTCCTGGGCTTGGTTACTACACCAAAACAGAAAAGCACTGCTGGAGGGTGAGGATGATTTGGGTTCTTTGGAGTGGAAGGTAGAAGGCAAAAGGAAAACAAACCAACAAAAACAACTGCTCGTGCCAGCTCTGGAATTGCTAAGAGAAGAGAGGAGTAAAGGAAGTGCAGAGCAGGATGGAGTAGATAAATGAACAAAGAGACAGAAGAAACTAGAGAGGAAGAGGGGGGTAAGGTGTCAAAGGTCCAGCTTTGGTTTATTGTAGCCAAACTGTGAGGGGGTGACTGACTGGAGGTGGGGTTTCTGGGCCAGACTGAGCTAACTCCACGGAGAGACCTACGTGTGCGTGGTGAGCGAATGTTGGGTCCTTAGAGCTAGAGTTACAGGTGGTTGTCAGGCACCATGTGGTTCTGGGAACTGAATTCAAATCCTCTGCAAGAGCAGTAGGTGCTCTTAACAGCTGAGCCATCTCTCCAGCACTTCTATTATTTTTCCTCATGACACCACAGGATCTAACTTACCATAGGCCAACAGTCGCATTGAGGGCGCTGTCTCCTCAGGGTTTAAGCTTTTCAAACCCTCATTGGCTTTTCTAAAATAAAAACACATTTTTAAATTTTAAATTTTTATTTTTTAAAAATTAGTATATTAAGCAGGCCACAGGACCCTTAAAAACCAGATATTAGTGAGGCTTCTGACCAGGCTACACCCTAAGCCCACAATTCACTTAAGTCAAACCCAGCACATTTCAAAAACTGAAATTAAATGAGATTTCCACCAACTTCATTTAGCTGATGTCTCCACAAAAGGAGAAATTAAAACTATTTGTCATAAGCCAGTATGGACTAAGTTCACTGGGAATAGTAGCAATGTTTTAATTTCTGAGGTCAATAACTACTTATCTCATTATCCTGAAGGATCTACCACTCTGAATTTTATTTTTCTCAATCTTTTATATCTTTATCTCCAACTTATTGGCATTCTGTTGTATCTTCCACTGTGGCTCTATTCTCCCAATCTCCCTTCTACCTTCCACTCCAAAGAACCAAAATCATTCTCACCCTTCCAGCAGCCTCTTTTTTCCTTTTGGTATGGTAACTAAACCCATACCTCACACATACTATGAATAGGATCTACCACCGAGCAACACTTGCAGCCTGCCCCCCAACTTTTCCCACTACTCCCCACAGCAATTTATTAAAGAAGATGATATACTGAGGAGCCAAATTCTCAGGCTGGTACTTAATCATACAGTCTTCTGATTCTAAAATATTTTACATATTTGATTCATATTCCCATAGGATTCAGCAGAAAAGGCAGTCTGATATTTTTATAATATACTATATGACAAAATGCTGCCTTCAAAAAAGGATATAAATACTTAAATGAAAGGAAAAATACTTCTCAGTAAGAAATCAATCCAGAGTGATTAATTATATCCACACTTCTGTTATAGCCAGATCACAAATGTACCAAAAATCAGCCTCTGTTCCCCACCTCACCATGCAGACACTGGGGTTGCTGTGGTTCATTATACTACTGTCTCTGTTGCCCAGAAGCTCTGCAATCATTTAAAAGCTGAAAGGATATTCATATTATACTTCCTATAAAGTGCATCTACTTTATAGTAACAGAAGAATCAGTATTTTGGAATGACCTGAGACAAAAGGAGGTGAGATGAACTCTGAGAACACACAAGTTAACCAGAGCATACTCATCTCCCAGCTGCTGCGTTAACTTAAGCTTCAGGGAAGCCAGGGGGGGTGGCTCATGTCTGCAGTCTCAGCACGTGGGAGGCTGAGGGAGTAGAACTACCGCATGTTCAAGGCCAACCTGAGTTATACAGTGATACGCTACTCCAAAGGCCAACCTAAAATAAATGTTAGAACATCAAGGAACACAGAGTTATTACTGTTGGTCTGCTCATTATATAAAAATAGGACCTCTGTAAATACAAATGTCACTGATTTATTAATCATTGTTCTGATAAGATAGAATTCAACCAAAATAGCTATACGCATAGTGAAGTGTGCTCTACTTTTCTAGAATCAAAAGGAACAATTTGCTATTTCAGTCTAGTCCATTGGAAGCACTGTTTGGTAGGGAAAATGTGACCCAGATATTTAATGTGACTGTCTCTGGAACAGCAACCAACTAAATTGTACAGTTTTTCTTAATAAAAAAAGCCCACTTTTCAGAGGAATTCTTTTAAATGGTAGTTAAACCTTATGATTTATACAGTAGTAATAATCTGTATCAGCATATGTACCAGTGTAACTTAACCAATAAATTTGGGAGAATTTCTGTTTTGCATAAGCTGTTTTTCTCTATTGGCCACACTGTGGTACGGCGATAAGGAATATATTAACTTTCTAGGCATGGTGTCCCACGTCTGAAATCCCAGCAAGGTCAGAAGTTCAGACTACAATAAAGAAAAACAAAAACAAAATGATAAAAAAAAATTCAAATGGTGCATTTCTATACTGAACACTTCATAATGGAGCACCCCTTTAATCCTAGCACTTGGGAGGTAAGTAGTTGGATCTCTTTGAGTTCAAGGCCAGCCTGGGTTAATAGCCAATTCCAGGCCAGTCAGGTTACATAGTGAAATGCTATCTTAAATAATTAAGAAGAAAAAAAAATGATTTATCAATAGTTTCACAAAGTTAATATTGTAAAGAATTAGAACTTTTCATTTTTGTTCTTGGAATCTAGTAACAAATGTAACAGAATCTAGACGTCAATAACCAGAGAAGATACCCCACCCAGCACGTCAGTCACTATCCTTTCATCAGAAACATGAAAACTCACCGCGTTTTGTGCTTTCTCACTTCCTAATGTTAGCAGGAAACTGTCAGTGCCACAACATTTCCTCTTACAAACTCTGGAACAGAGTATGAGGAAGTTTACCCAACTTCTACATTTATGTATTTAAGATATTTGAGGGTTTTGTTTTTGTTTGTTTGTTGGTTGGCTGGTTTTTGAGATGGTATCATGCAACTGGCTAGCTTCAATATCATTGCAGAGCTAAGATTACAGGTGTGTTCCACCATGCCCATTTTACTAGGTCCTGGGGAGGGAACCCAGAGCTTCCTGATAGGCAACAACTCTGCAACTGAGTTACAACTGTAGCCTCTAAAACACCATTTTAGAAAATGTAAAAGACAGTAACACTTCTTTAAAAAGAACTGTAGTGGGGTGAAGGGTATAGGTCAGTGAGGGAGGGGCAAACAAATCCATGGCAGGGGTTTTTCTTTTCTGTAAATGTAAGATTTCTCTAAACTCACTAAATATGTATTTTTATTAGAATAAAAATGAATTAGGTTACAAAACTTGCAAGCCAAGAAAAAAAATTCTATATATTTTAGGCATTGCACAACACTTTTAGGCAACAAAGAGTTACTGAAAACATTTGTTTTAGGTAATAAACAGTCATTTTTTAGGCCACGGTAACTTTTAACATTTGTGTGGAAAGAGCCACCACTTGTGGCCACATGCTAATTTCTGACTCTAAGGCTGAAAGTTACAATTCACTCACCAACCAACCAAACAAACAAGCAAAACCACAACATTCATATGTCTTGAATATATTAATTTAAAAGTTTGGTAAACTTCCTCATTTTGTGTTACAGAGTTCATGACAGGAAATGTTGTAGCACTAATAGTTCTCACTATTAATATTCATTCATTAATTCATTCACAATGAAGTAACTATTCCTGACTCATGAAATAAACTTATTTGACTGCAAAGGTTTAGAAAATGGGTGGAAATGCTCAACATTTTAATCTTGGAAGCAAATGCGGGTAGGAAAACTCTGATTGAGGTAGTCCTTTAAGCTAAAAGACTCAGAACTCTGATGGAGGTAGTCCTTTAAGCTAAAAGGCTCAAAATTTATTTTGGGCTATGTAAGCAAAATTTGACTAAACCCAAATCCCTATATTTGAATGCAGCATAGCATATGAGACTGGTTCTACAGAAATTGTCAAAATTCTCAAACTTGCTTTAACAAAGTTATATAACATCCAACACTGGTCAATTCTCCAGGAATTTGAGAAGTTTGATTTTCTTTTGTTTGTTTGTTTGTTTGTTTGTTTGGGGATTGTTTTGTTTTGTTTTTGAGATGGTATCTCATGTTACCTAGGTTAGCCTAAACTTGGAAGTACCTGAAGGTGTCCTTGAATGCGTGATCTCTCACCTTCATCTCACAAGTACTGAAATTACTCACCAAGCCTGACAGGAAGTTTTTGTAGAATATATCAAAAGTTTATTAAATATGAACTCTGCAACACAAACAAAGGCATCTACTAATGCATGTTTTTCTGATCACCTGTTTGCAAATTTCCCAAACATCCTTTAGGAAGAACAAGCAGAGCTCTAGGAAGTCAAAGGATACCCTAGGAAGCCAAAGAGGCTTCTCTCAACTTCCTAGTTTTATAGCCTGCTTTGAAATGCCAGGATTCCTTCTTCACATCCAGATTTTGGCACTGGTGAAGTCGGGTCTTGAAATAAGAGGTTTCTAAACCCGTGTCCCAAACTGTAACACCATATTAGAAATTAAGCTTTTCCAAAAATTAAAACCATCACGTAGAAGTGCAAAGGCCAGTGTCGACACTGGTTGAAAACCTATTGCACTGTAAGGCTGAGTTACTTAGAAAACATCTGGTCCAGGGACTGCTCAGATCACACTGCCGCACAAGCATGTGGTCAAAAGCAGGCACTGACAAAAGGGGCATGTCCTTTGCCAAAGTGGGGAGAAACTTAGAAGCTACAGCCATGCCTTTGGAGATTCATGGAACTGAGCTGTGCTGAGCCTAGGGACCCTAGGACAATCATGTGGCTGAAATTTCAATGACACAGGCCAAAAGTAGAACCATTTGATTATCGCAAATAATAATATACAGTTAAAATTTAGATTGTAGATTTAGGGTTAAGGGGTATGAACTGGTTGCCTCCCGTGTGAATGATCCAGCACTCAATCTCCAGTACTTTAAAATAAAAACAACAATAAATTAAATCTTAGGATGGTAGTAACTAATTTCTGCATACCGCAAACATTCAACACAATTAGACGTCCTTCTTGTAAAAACTTAAGTGTTACTCTTTGTTTCTTTGAAAATCCTGGGCCTAAGGTTTTCTCTTCTGAACAGCTGGGACTTCTGGCACATGGCCACCATGCTCAGCTTGAAATGTTAGTTTTTCCCTCTCTTTCTATTTTTCTTTCTGTCATTTTAAAAAGCAATACTGGGGATCAACTCCACCAGACTCTGATTCTAGTGTGGACTCTCCCAACTAAGCTACATTCCCAGTCCTTAACATTGCTTTCAATATTTACTTAATATTCCTTAACTTTTTCCCAGAGACTAGCAATTTTTATTTTAAGCCTTTTCGCTTACTTATTATTTATTTTCTCCATGTGCATACCAGTGAGCACATAAATGCCTCGGTACACATGTGAAGGTCAGAAGACAACTTGAGGAAGTCCTTTCTTTTTTTACACCTTTATTTGGGAGCCAGGAATTGAACTCAGGTCATCAGGCTTGGTAGCAATCACCTTTACCCACTGAACTATCATCTTGCCAGGCACCCCAAAGCTATGGTTTTTGCTTCTAAGAAATGGCTTCCTGGTTTCAATTTGTAACTTCAGTTGTCTGATTATAAAAAGGAAACCTAATATCTACTGACAAAAGCAAAATGTTTTTTTTTAAATCCAGAATAATAATATTAGGAAATATATTAGGAAATCAAATGACCAGAAGCCTATTCAAGGTGTTGTCGATAAGGCTCATTTAGGTTTCACCTATGAACTCTATGGAGCCTCTCACTAGCAGAAATGAAAACAGAACAGCACATCTATCATTTCACTGAGCCTTACTACATAAGCAAAACTAATCTCATGAGTTCCTGAAAGAACATAGGGCTCCAAGTTCAAGCTGTTTCTCAAATTAATGGTTTCATGTGAGGTCCTCATGGGTCTAACAGATAACCATATCCTAGTCCCCAAAAGAGAACTTACAGCTAGCACTTACAAAAGGGGAGGGGAGCTGGGCATGGTGGTGCATGCCTTTAGTCCCAGCACTTGGGAGGCAGAGGCAAGTGGATCTCTTGAGCTCAAAGACAGCCTGATCTATGGAGGGAGTTCTAAGACAGCCAAGGCTACACAGAGAAACTCTGTCTCAGAAAACAAATAAGTAAACAAGATACATTTTTCATTTGAAGATCTGAAATATTTTTAAAACGAGCCCGTTTCCCACTGATAGTCAAAATAATGGAAGGTATAATCTCCATAAGAATGACTTACTTCAGGTGGTTGGAGGGAAACATGAAGTACAAATGGGAAGGCTCTTTGTTGTTTCAGTAATTATTTCTCTGGGTTATTTTTCTTCAAGGTACTTCTCATTTTCTAAAACAATGTATCTTCTTGTTCATTGATTTCTTGCCAGTTTCCTTGCATTATAAACTCCAAGATGCCAGACTTTATCTATCTATCTATCTATCTATCTATCTATCTATCTATCTATCTATCTATCTATGTGTCCATGTATCTATCTATCTATCTATCTATCTATCTATCTATCTATATCTATGTATCTATCTATCTATCTATCTATCTATATCTATGTATCTATCTATCTATCCATGTATCTATCTATCTATCTATTTATCTATCTATCTATCTATCTATCTATCTATCTATGTGTCTATCTATCTATCTCCTCTCCCTCCTTCCTCTATCCTTCTCTCTCTCCTCCTCCTCCCCCCATTCCCCTCTGGTTTTTGGAGACAGGTCTCACTATACTCTGGGTGTCCTGGAACTCACTCTGTAGACCAAGTTGGCCTCAAACTCACAGAGATCTACCTGCCTCTGCCTCCCGAGTGCTGGGATAAAGACGTGCACCACCACAGCTTCTGTCTCTTAACCACCTTTGTACCTCCAGTTTCTACAAGTGTATGGCATTGAAAAAACTCTCAAGAAACACTTTCAGTAAGAAGGAGAAAAAGGAGAGAAAGCCAAAGGAGGTCAGGAAGGTAGGCAGGCAAGCTGGGTCACAAGTTTAAATACTTGATATTTTCAGGGTAGAAATGTTGTAATCACCAAATCATAATTCAAGTCTAAATGGGAAAATAAAACAAACATCTAACTTACTTTAACAGTCTATAATATGCAAGCCTGAACAGTTCTTGGATACAGACAGAGAGCAACACTCCAAAGATGAGAAGGTATTTCTGTACTGGTCCATCTCTGTTGTCAGTAATGACTCTCACTAGGTACCAAAACATGGATGAAAGCAGAAGAGATACCAACCAGAAGAAAGCACTGGAATATAAAAGAAAAAAAATCACAAGTTAACAGACGCACAGTTAGATAAACAATGACTTTAAATCTGCTTGAGAAGAAACTAATATCTTGATTTTTTTTTTTTTTTTAATTAGAAAAAAAATCCTTGAAGTGATTTTCAGGATCAGCATTTGCTAATCAATGGTCCTTTTTTTTTTTTTTTTTTTTTTCTCCTAGTGAGAAAAACAGTCCAAGAGGACTGTCAGATGTGCTCAACAAGAACGTGTGTACACTAAGACACTATCGGCCAAGGACTGGCTAAGTAGAACTTGGTTGGTGGTGCTTTTTCTGTGATGCTTTGCCTCTGACGTGCCCATAGCAACATACAAGCAATGACTCTTGCAATTTTCATATCATCAAAATTCACTAGAAAATACTCATTTAATGGCTACTTATCTGTAAAGACAAGTATCTTTTCTGAAAGAAAATGAATACCTAAACCTGTATTTATAGCGTTCCAGTGTGTAAAATTCAGCTGTTGAAAACCCGTGCTCTGGTCTAGTTGTTTTCCAGGCCTGGTTCTTAAACCACCACCGCCACACCACCCGTCGTCCCCCCCACCCCCCACCCCGTGGATTTTAATGAGGACAGCAAGCTTTACAAGCCTTTGGTTCAACAGACTCTATTGTTTTTTAATGACAATAGCGATGGAGCGCTATTTAGTACAATCAAAATGACACTCAGGTAGGCTGGAGTCCCTGGCCTAGCTAATGAGCTGGCCTGATGCCAAGTCCCAGACACTCTCAGCAGGTGCAAAGAGACCAAGATTTACCAAGCTCTTGAGGAGGACATGCCTAGTTAGGTGTTGCTGCGTTTTCTCGGGCTTCCACCCTTGGCTGCACCCCAATCATTAGCCAGGGATCTGCAAGAAAACTCTGAGCCCAAAGCCCTCACAGGCATTCTGAGTCTGAGAATGGGGCAACCGATCCCCAGGTGATTTTAATGGCCGAGAGTGAGAACGACTCACTGGGCTCCATACACGAATATATCTCCATGTTCCCACACTTGGCCCGCAGAAGCCAAGACCCGCAGGGCGCGCCTGCTCAGACCACCGGCCTGCTCTCCCCAGACCCTTTCAGGACAGAGGAGCCTCCCCTCCTCTCAGCCCTGAGTGGTCCCACAGTGGTCCCTGGAGCCACTGGGGGGTCGGGGACCCAGGTAGGGGAGGGAGCCCGCGGCGTCAGGGACTCGGCGCAGCCTCACCCGGCGATGAGGAAGATGACGCGCAAAGGGTCGGTGGCGATGGTAAAGATGTAGAGAGCGAGCGCGGGCCCGAAGGCGATGAAGGCGCAACCGAAGAACACGGCCGCCGTCATGGCGCCCGCGGAAGCCAGTCCCGGGGCCCTAAGGGGACCCGAGGTGCTCACGGCGCCGTCTTAGCGGGATGCGGGGCGGGGCAGGTCTGTCAAGCGCCTAGTGCTCTGTCAGAGCCCGGGGCCCGGCGGAGCTCTGAAGGCGGGGCCTCAAGGTGCTCCGGGCTCGTCAGCGTGGGGGGCGGGGCTGAGCGGGGAGGCGGGGCC